AGCAAATTTGTCTCTTTGCATTTCTTGACTTTCACGCTGCAGTTGCTTCCTCCAACAAAGAATTTATAATTATAATTAAATAATTAATATTTTAATTTTATTTTAACTTTATTTTAATTTCATCTTTATTTTTATTTGATGAAATAAGATGCAGCAACGCAAAAGGTGCAGAAGCACAACAGTGCCCATCTTCACATTCGCTGCTGCTGTTCCAGTTGCTCGGGGGCTGCTGCTGCTGCTTCTTCTGGTCCTGCTGCTGCAGCGGCTTTCGTGCTGCTGCTGCTGCTGTTCAGGCTCGTGCTGCAGCAGACTCACTCGAGGGCCATGGAAGGAGCTGCTGCTGCTGCAGCTGCTGCTGCAGCATAGTAGCAGCAGTCCGCGTTCGGCCGGGCAGCAAACATGGCGGTGAGAAGTCCAGCAGCAGCATCTGTTTCTGTGTATCTGCTGCTGCTGCTGCTACTATTGCTGCTGCTGCTGCTTTCTTCTTTGCTGCTGCTGCTGCTGCCGTTTCCTTTGCTGCTGCTGCTGCTGTCTCGGATGTTTTGGGGACTAAATGCAGCCTCTGCTGCTGCAGCAAGAGCTACGTGATGCCGCAGCAGCAGCAACGCTGCTGCTGCGTCTCCCTTTTGCTGCTGCCGCCGCAGCAAAGCCAGAAGCTGCTGCTGCTCCTGGACCACCTCCGGTCCACTAAGACAGCTTGCCCACCTCTGCCGCTGTTGCTGCTGCCGCTGCTGCTGCGCTACTGCAGCTGCTGCTGCAGCAGATGCTGCTGCTGCTGCTTCTTCTTGAGAAATGGCGCTCAAGCCAGAAGCTGCATGCAGCACCTGCTCTGCAGCAGCTGCGGATCTCACGCCTACTTCTGCTGCTGCTTCTCGAGCTAAGCTCTGCAGCCATCCCACAAGTTCTGTCAGTCTTGCTGCAGCTGTTCCTGCTGCTGCTGCTGCTGCTGCTGCTTGCGACTTCGCCGTTGCCTCTGTTGCTGCTGCTGCTGCTGCTGCTGCTGAGGGCTTAAGCGCGGACCCGCTGGCTGCCGTCGCTGAGCTCAGCAGGCCTGCAGGTGCTGCAGCAGCATTTGCTGCTGTTGCTGCTGGCTGAGGCTTTGTTGCTGTTGCTGCTGCTTCCCTCAAGCGCGCCTGAGCTGCAGCAGCAAGACCCTTGAATGCAGCAGCAATTAAGCTGCTGATTAGCTGCTTTTGTGTCCCTCTTGTGCCTTCTGCTGCTGCTGCTGCTGCATCTCTTTTTTTTCCCTGTGTATTTTCCCGTGCTGCTGCTACGTCTTTCTGCGTGTCTGCCGTAGCTGCTGCTGCTGCTGCTGCAGCAAGAGTCAGCAGCTCCTGACCCTGCTGCTGCTGCAGTTCTCCGGAGGCAAACAAGGCCTCAACAGCAGCAACAAGAAGCTGCTGCTGCTGCGGTGACAGCAGCAGCAACTGAGCGGACAGCAGCCGCTTGACGTGTACGTACACCCCATCCAGCAGCTCAGCAGCAGCAGCAGCAACGCCGCAGCTAGCTGCAGCAGGCCCGCAGCTAGCCACAGCTAGCTGGCTCTGGCCCAAGGCTTCTGCTGCTGCTGCTTCATAGCCATTTCCCTGCAGCAGCACCTCTCTGGCAATCTTTGCCACTGCAGCAAAATGCCGAGAGAAGATATCCTGTGGGGTACCCCCAGGGGCCCCTGGGGGCCCCCCAAGGGCCTCGGGGGGCCCCTGGGGGGCCCCTTGGGGTCCCTTTAAAATCAAAATGCGTCTTGAGAGCTCCAGGGCCACCGGCAGCAGCACGTGGGCAAACTGGAGAGCTGAGGGGGGCGGCAGCAGCAGCAGCAGCAGCAGCAGAGCCTCGCAGGCTGTCTCCAGCTGCACGTATACCCCCGCACACCCACTGCAGCGGCAAGTGCAGCAGCAGCAACGGCAGCAGCAGCAAAGGCAGCAACAGCAAAGGCAGCAGCAGCATAGGCAGCAGCAAAGGCAGGCAGTAGCAGCAAGTTCGGCAGCACTTGCTGCTGTTAGCAACGGCAGGAGCAGCAGCAAAAGCCAGCAGCAGCAAAAAGTCAATATTGCCTTTAGGGACCATTCACTGACAATAACAAACAGCAAGCAGTACTAGAAATAGATGCAGCAGCAGCAGAAGCAGCAGCAGCAGTCGCACGAGTAGCAGCAGTGGCAGCTGCAGCAGCAGCAACAGCAGTGGCAAATAACGCAGCAGCAGCAGCAGCAAATGCAGTAGCAGCAGATGCACCAGCAGCACAACCATCAGCGACTACAGCAACAGCAGCAGCAGCAGCAGCAGTAGCAGCAGCGTCTGCAGCAGCAGCAGCAGCATGCACCTGCCCATCCTTCATAGCTGCAACGGCCACCGCAACTGCAGCAGCAGCAACTTCTCGCTGCATGCTTTCTCCCAGGGCCCCCAGACCCTTTTGGGGCCCCCTGCTGCTGGGGGCCCCCAACGGGGGGGCCCCCCGGGCTGTTGGGGGCCCCTCTGGGGGTCCCCTGAGAGCAGCAAGAAGCTGCTGAAGTGACTTCTTGCTGCTGCCTTCCTCAGCAAAGGCTCGGGCCAGCAGCAAATGTGTTGATGCGCCCAAGCTGCAGCTTCCTGCTGCTGCTGCTGCTGCTGCAGCGCCGCGTGCTGCAGTGCCTTGCGCGCTGCTGCACGGGGGGCCCCCTGCTGCACTTCCAGCTTCAGGGGGCCCCACAGGAAGAGATGCATTGGGGGGCCCTGAGGGAAGTAAAGTTTGCTGCTGCTGCTGCTGCTGCTGCTGCTGCAGCAGAGAGCTAGCCACATGAAGCGCTTCAGTTGCTGCGACGCCCTGCTGCAGCAGCGCAGCAACTGCTGCTGCTGCTTCAGTGGCAGTTACACCATGAACTTCCTGAATACGAGTATAATCCCAGGTCGCCTGCTGCTGCTGCTGCTGCTGCTGCTGCTGCTCGTTGGTGCCAGCTGCTTTTCCAAGGGCAGACTCAATACGAGCAGCAGCAGCAGCGACGCATTTGGCGCGCTGCTGCTGTAGCTGCAGCAAATCCTCAGCCAGCATAAGGGCCATCGTAGAGTCCCCTGCCTTTTGCTGCAGCAGCAACTGCAGCAGCTTGTGCTGCTGCTGCTGGAGTCGCTGCAGCTGCTGCAGCGCCTCGAGACAGGCACTAGCCACATGCCAGGCCCGCCGCAGCAGCAACAGCTCGCTGCTGCTGCCAAGCAGCTGCTGCTCCGGGGGGCCCCCTTCAGCTGCAGCGGCAAGTACCCTTTTGGGGGGCCCCTCTGGGGGGCTCCCCTGCTGCTTGCTGCTGGAGCTAGCCCATTTGCTGAAAAGGTTTGTAAGCCGCAGCAAAAGGTCTTGGAAATCCAAAAGAAAAGAAAAAGGAATTAATTTTAAAAATGCCATTTCCAAAAATATATTTGTGAGGCTCTGAAGGACTGCAGCGGCTTCCTGCTGCTGCTGCTGAGGTGTACGTACACCCCGGGAGCCACAAGGCGCTCCCGCTGCTGCTGCTGCTGCTGCTTCTGCTTCTGTTGCTGCTGCTGCTGCTTCCAAAGCCTCGACGCGAGACTGGCAAGAAGACAGTGCGGCTGCTGCGGAAGCGGTGATGGGAGACGACGCTGCACCTCCCGCAGCAGCAGCAGCAGCAGCAGCAGCAGCAGCAGCAGCAAACGGACTGACACTCTGAAGCTTGAGTTCTTTGCCCAATGAAGAGCCAAGGAATGGAGAAGCAGAAACCATTGGGGGCCCACCAGGGGGGCCCCCCTGCGGGGCTGGGGGCCCCCTTGCTGCTGCAGAGCAGCAAGTTGCTGCCGGTCCTACACTCCTACCGCTCTTGCTGCTGCTGCTGATGCTCCTTCTTCTGTTTGTGCTGTTGTTTCTGCTGCAAAAGCTGCTGCTGCTGCATGCAGCAGGGGCTGTTCTTAGGCGAGAGGGGCCGCAGAATGCAGCAAAGCTGCTGCTGCTGCTGCTGCTGTGGGCTACTGGGCCCACAGAGCAGCGCTGCGCGAAGCCGCAGGGCCTGCATGCAGCAGCAGCAGCAGCAGTCTGCATGCACCCCACAAGTGCAGCGAAAGCCAGCAGCAGCAAGACTCCAGCAGCAGAAAGACTCCCCCGTGCCCCCCGGAGGGGGCCCCCACGAGCTGCTGCTGCAGCACCCATGGGGGCCCCCTCTAAGCTAGCAGCAGCAAGAAAAGAAGCCAAAGACTGAAGACCCAAGAAAGGGGAAAAGCCCTTTGAAGGGCCCCCTGGGGGGGCCCCCAGGGGGTCCCCCGGGGCCCCCTTGGGGGCCTCATGGTGGGGCTTGCCAAGAGGAGCCTGGGAGGAGTAAACGGGGATCTGGGAAGTTGAAAAGAAATTTAAAAAGTCTCTTTTATTTCTATGTCGAAGCAAAAGGTGCAGAACCCTCATAATGGGGGTGAGCTGGCGGACAGGGAAGACATGGCGGGCTGGGACCGCTGCAGCGGGAACCCGGGAACTTTAAATGCTGCTGTTGGTTTAGATCTGCTGCTGCAGCAGCAAAATGGCCAAAAACTCTTCAAAAAATGCCGAGAATGCATACTCTGCGGTGTACAGACACCGCAGCGGCAGCGGCAGCGCTGGGGTCGGCTGCTCTGGCCGACGGCCGCAGGAACTGCTGCAGTTGAATATTCCTGCGGAATTCATGATTGAAAGAAAAGTAAAGAAATAAAGCAATAAATTGATTTCAGAGTTTCTTTTGGTTTTTTAATTTATATTCCGCCTTTTTTTAGGGTATTTTCGACGGAGAGCCGCTTCCGCCGGCGGCGGCGCAGCAGCCATGCTTCCCGAGCAACACTTGCATTTTCTGCAAAAGTGTCCGGCGTTCTTGACTTCCAACAACATTTTTAAAAGTCAAATTTGCTCTTTTTTCCTCAAGTTATGGGAAAGCTGCTGAATTCGGGCTTTTTCGCCGAGGTTTCCGCCTTCGTTCCTGCGCCTGGTCCAGCTAGCATCGATGTTCAATTCTGAATTTCACCAGCGGCGCTGTCTGCCCTTGCCTCAAGTCCAACTGCACTTCAAATTCTAGTTCTTTATCATTAATTTGCAAAATATTTCTCTTTTTCCGAAAGTGCCTCCAGCAGTTTTCTCGGACGCGTCGAAAGTGTTCGCCGCTGGCTGCCGCGGGCTCGAAGCCGCCTCGAGGCTCCCCTCTTCCTTCAAGTTCAAATAATTCTTTTAAAGACAATTTCCGCTTTTTTTCCTCACTGAGGCGAGCCAAAAGACACCGCCAGCTGGCCATTAGCAGCGGCAGCAGCAGCAGCAGCAGCAGCAGCAGCAGCAGCAGTTGAGAACAGCTGCAGCAGCAGATCCTTCCTTTTCTAGCACTTTTCCAGTTTTAGCATGCAATCGTTCAAAGACTTCTTTTCTTTTCATTTGAAATTCAAATTTGCAAGTAGACAAAAGAGCTGCTGCTTTTGCCTCCCCCCCCCAACACACTAAACTCGAAGTCTTACTCCCTCGCAAGCTCTCTCTTCACCTGCTGCGCCGCAGCAGCAGCAGCAGCAGCAGTTGCAGCTCTGGCTAAAAGGCGGGGAGGCAAGTGTCTTGGGCCCTTGCCAGCGCCGCGCCTGCTGCTGCAGCCTTCCCTCTACGTTCCCCCCATCTAGCAGCAGCAAACTGCAGCAGCAAAAGCCTCCCCCGGCTGGCAGCAGCAAACTGCAGCAGCAAAAGCCCCACCCCAGCTAGCAGAAGCAAACTGCAGCAGCAAAAGGCCCCATGTCGCCTGCTGCTAGCCCCCGCCCCAGCCGGGGGATTCTCCGCAATGGCGCTTCAGCGAAGACGAAGCAGCAGCAAAGCCCCAGCCCAGCAGCAGCAGCAGCAGCAGCAGCAGCAGCGCCAGCAGCAGCAGCAGGGCCAGCAGCAGCAGCGCGGCCACGGACAGCAGCAGCAGCAGAACGCGCGGGCAGCAGGCCCTCCAGTGGGTTCTTGACTGTTGAAAAAAGTGTTTCAGGATCTCCAAGATGGAAAAAAGTGGAAGTGGAAAGACAAGCAAAATTTGCAAATTCGAAAAAACATGAATTTGGATCTCGGAGCAGCAGGGGGCCCCCCGAGGGCCAGAGGAGCCCCCCCGGGAAACAGGGGGCCCCCGAATTTGCAAAAGAAGAAGGCGAAGAAAAGCGGAAGACGAGTTCCCCTGCTGCTGCAGCAGCTGCTGCAGCTGCTGCTGCAGCAGGCAGCAAGGATCCAGCAGCAAGCAGCAGCAGCAGCTCTTGGGCCTCAGTTTCTTTTCCTCAAGAGGAAAATGGAATTCCAGAAGAACAGTTTAAGAAGTCCGACAGGCTCAGCAAGCTGCTTGCTGCAGCAAAAGAAGAAGAAGCAGCAGAAAAGAGAAAAAAGAAAGAAACGACGCAGCAGCTGCTGCGCAGCAGCCCGCTGGCAGCAGCAGAAATGCAGCAGCTGCTGCTGGGCGAGAAGCGGGTGCCTGAGAAGCCCCCAGAAGATCCTAGTGAGGAAAATGAAATTAAATGGAAAGTAATGCCAGAAATCCGCAAAAGTGACTTCTTGCTCAAGTACACCCCAGAGAAGCAAAGACTGCAGCAGCCGCCCGCCATCTTGAATGTGGAAAGCGAAGGCAATTTAGGATTCAATTCCGAAATTGTTCGGGAATTATGTGAGTTTTCGTTTTTAATTTCCTCTTAATTCGTTTTTAATTCATTTTTAATTCATTTTTAATTTATTTCGCAGTTAATTAAACCCTTTTTGGCCTTCAATCACAAGTTTCCTGCTCTACTTCTCAGAAAATGAGGATAAATGAATTAATAAGCGATTAAATGGTATTTCGATGTTAAACCAACAATTGTTGATTAATTTCAAAAGATAAATTGGCCAAGACAAAAATAAAACGAAAAAATGCAGAATCTGTTTCGCATTTTTCCTGTTTCGTTTGCAGGCGACAAATGGGTGGAGCCGTATCCGAAGTTTCGGGTAAGTTCAAAAAGAAAAGATGAATTAAAAACTAAAACATTTATTTCTTTTTATTTTTAATTTTATTCTTTCTACATTTCTCCTGAACGGCCGAGACTGAGGGTCCTTGCAAGTTTGAACAGCAGTTCAGAAACAGCAGCAGGGGCTGAATTTTTCGTGTTTTTTGAATTTTGGGATTTTTTCGAATTCTTTTTCTTTTTGTTTTCGCAGCCTCCTTCACGCGCTGCTTCTGCTTCGCAGCTGAGCGAAGTGGAGGCCCCGGAAGGGGAAGAAGCTGAGTTGGGAGTTTCTGAAAACAAGGGGGGGGGGAGCTTTCTGAGTGTTTCGGACACTTTGCGGGAAACGCGGCTGGACAGCGAAGAAGCCATGAACACTTTTTTGCTCGAAAAGAGTTTTAAAGAGTCTTGGAAACACCGCCAGCTGCTGCATTCTGCAGTTCGCGAAAATGCTGCGCACAAGTCCCAAGTGGGAACTGGCTTGCTGGCCGAGAAACTTGTGCAGGAAAGCAGAACTCCCAAGAAAGGAGTCGTGCGATTCGAGTGCGATCTCGCCTTCTTTTTGCTTTTAAATGCTTTAGTTCTCAAATTTAATTAAAGTTTACTTCAGTAATTCGAGTTTTCTCAGTTTTCAATTTCAATTTTTTGCCAACTTCCACGCGCACGCCAACTCAGATTCCTGGCTGCATTCAACTTTTGCCGTTTTCCTTCAATTCAAACTCGTTTATAAAATCGATTTTTGCACATTTGAATTCTAAAAATTCAATTTAAAGATAAACGCATGCACAATAAAGCGTCAAACACTTGAATAGAATAGAGGCTGCCGCTTCACGAAGTTGAATTGAATGTGTGCATGCAGCATTTAAGCAGCCTTTTCTTTCCTCCGCAATCCCCCAAATGCCTTTCTTTCTTTATTTAAAGCTTTCTTTCATAGTTATTAATTTCTGTGTCTTCGTTTGCAGTTTTTCATTCATTTTTTATATTTCTTCGCAGTTTTTCATGCAAAGCTTCGTTTCGCTGCCTGGCGGCGTGTTATGCATTTAAAAAGGATTTATGTTTTCTTTTGAACTTTAATTTAATTTAATTCATTTTTTGCTGCTTCTACTTGCAGAGAAGTTGAAGAAGATGACGAGGGGCCCCCGGGGGGCCCCCAAGCCGCTTCGTCGTTTCCCGTTGGGGGCCCCCCTGAGCAGGCGGAGCTAATTGCTCTTCACCACATTTCAAAAACAGCTCAACAAGTGAATTAATTTGAATAATATCTTTTTAAAATAAATCCTTTTAAATTTTACTTCACAAATCTTCTTTATTTGGTTATTTGCACTTAAATGCATATGTTTTTGTGTGGGATCTGCTTTTTGAAATTTGTGGGGGTTTCTGACAACTTTGCTTCTTTATTATAGGAGTAGTAGTAGTAGTAGTAGTAGTAGTAGTAGTAATAATAATAATAATAATAATAATAATAATAATAATAATAATAATAATAATAATAGCAATAACAGGAATAGTAATAACAAATAATAGTAATAATGACAATAATAATAAGAATAACAATAATAATAATGGTAAAAATAATAATAACAATAATAACAATAAATAATGATGGTAACAGTTATAATGATAATCTTCTCTGCAGCTGTTTGTCTTTGCCTTAATTCCCGATTTTATAATTATTTTATTTGAAAATAATAGTTATTTGTTTATTACTTTAATTTCTCATTTAATTACTATTAATTAGAATAATATTTTATTTTTTCATTATTTTAATATCTCATTTGATAATTTGTATCCCAAAATAATAAGTATTTGTTCATTATTTTAACTTTTTATTTAATAATAGTAATTGTTACTATTTGAAAATAAAAATAATTTGTTTATTGCTTTAATTTATGACTTTATTTGCCATTTTTTATTATTTGCTAAAGTCTATTCCTCTCTTTATTTTTAGTTTCACTCAATAATTAATTAAATGAATATTTAATCGAGATTAAAAATTAAAATGTTTGAATTCATAAAATGCTCAATTTACTGAACTTTAAATGTGGAATTTTCAATTATAATGCGTTTTCTTGTGGAACAATTAATTAAATGAATTTTAAATGTTCAAATTTGCGAAATAAATAAACAAATGAAAAATAAATTAAAAATGTAAATTTAAATGTTTTATTTCTTTTATTTTGCAGCTCAAAGACAAGCTGGAGAGCCGCTTTCCTTATTTGGACATTTCCTGGTCTCGGCAGCCTTCTTTTGACGAGGAAAATGTGGAAGAATTGTTTTTTTTGGGATCAAAACAATTAAATAAATCAAAAGAATTGAATGGTTCAAAAGAATTAATTCAAATGCAGCAGTTTGACCCCTCAAAACCCCCAATTGCAACAAAACCCACACAAGATCCTGCTGCTGCAGCAGCAACAGCAGCAGCAGCAGCAGCAGCAGCAGCAGAAAGCTTCCTCCAAGCCCACGGCCGCGTCAGGGTGAGACTCAAAGAATTCAAATTGTTTATTTATTTATTTGTTTTTATTTTGTTCTCAACTTCTTTTTTTTTTATTTAAATCCTTTTATTCTTTTTCTCCTTTTCAAATTGTTTCTTTTTGTTTTAATTGCAATTTTGCGAAAATGAAAAAATAAACAAGTTTTCACTTTTATAATTTCATTTTAATTAACATTTCGTTTATTTAATTCTCTATCTTTTATTATTTAAGTTTCCCCATTTTGCATTTCTTGTTTATTCCTGATTCATTGCTTCTTCATTTCTTTCTTTAAATTCCTTTTTATTCCTTTTATTTATTTTAAGTTGATTAATTTTTATTTATTTTAAATCAATAAATGTATTTTAGTTTAATTTGAAATAATTTATCCGTATTTACGTATTTTTTTGTTTTAAATCGACTAATTTGTTTTTATTTTAAGTTAAATCACTGTGTTTGTTTTAAGTTACTTTAAATGAATCAATTTATTACCACTTTTACATTAATTAATTCATTTTGGTTTATTTTGAATTAATTTGTTTTGATTTATCTTGAGCTAATTAATTTACTTCTATTCATTTTGAATTAGTTTACTTTAAATTAATTTACTTTTATTTACTTTAAATTAATTGATTCATTTTTATTTATTTTAAATTAATTTGTTTATTTTTTATTTTTATTTTCTTATTTGCTGCAGATTGCTGCAGCACGAATTTCGGAGTGTGTGGAGAGCAGCAGCAGCCCACGCAAAGAGGCCTCTCAATTGAGTGCGTGGAAATAAATGACTTAAAACATTTATTTAATTTAATTTAATTTAATTTAATTTAATTATTTATTTAAATACTTTTAACTCCTTTTTTTATTAAATGGCAGCCACGCAATTAGCTTCTCTCGCTTTGCTGCGGATCCCCTGCGTTTGTAGAGCCAGCTGGGGTTTAGCGTTTAGGGTTTAGTGCTTGGGGTTTAGGGTTTAGGGTTTAGGGTTTAGCGATGTGCAAGGCTATGACCACTGCCGCGGCCTTCTATCTAGCTGCAGCGCAAAGCTGATTCTGCATGCATTAAGTGGAAATTGAATTAAATTAATTAACTTTTTGTTTTGGATTTGAAGCTCATATGTCCAGGTCTATGTTTTAGGGCCTAGGGTTTAGGTTTTAGGGTTTAGGGTTTAGGGTTTAGGGTTTAGGGTTTAGGGTTTCTTTTTACGTGTACGTACACCCCGTCTCTAGAGCTACCTGCGTGGCGTGCATGCGGAGAAGGCTTTAATGCTTTTGCATGAATTGTTTTAAATAATTTCTCCAATTTATTTTAATTTATTTTAATTATTTTAAATATTTTAATCAATTTTAATTTATTTTAATTTGTTTTGTTTTATTTCAGCCAGAGATATAAAACTTATGTACAGAGAAGGAAACCCCGGGAGCGGCGCTGAGGTGTATAAGTGGAACGGCGACGGCTTCCCCCCTTTGAACTTGAGCCGTTTTAAAGGAGAAAGCGAAAATAAAAACAAAAATAATAATAATAATAATAATGATAATAAATATAATAATAATAATAATAACAATGGAAATAAAGAAGAGGATAAAGGCGGCGGCGAAGAAGCGGGAGGGCGCGGCGAGCCCGGGAGTCTGGGGTGTATCTACAGCTCGCCGGAACAAGTCGCGCAACTTTGGGAAGAAAATAAAATTCAAAATAAATTAATTCAACAAAAAGAAGATGAAGAACGCCTTCAACTTCTCCACCAAATTGTCAATGATATTTATTCCCAGTTTGGTGGCAAATGGGCAAAACAGGTATAACAACTTTTCCCTTTTCATGCACTGGCTTCTCTCCTTGTTTACTTATCTCCTTTTATCTATTTATTTCCTGTTTATTATCTATTTATTATTTATTCACTTACTTGTTTGTTTGTTTTTATTTATTCTGTATTTATTTCTTTTTTTAATTTTGCGCTTTTGTTTGACAGCTAAATGTTGATTCTTTTGCTTTCATATGTTCATTTTATTCACTCTCATTTATTGTTTACTTATTCATGTATACCATCTATATATTTATCTATTAATTCACTCGTTATCATTATTTATTTATTTATTTATTTATTTATTTATTCATTTACTTGTTTATTATTTCTTTGGCTTTCCCGCATTTGTTCGTTCTTTTGCTGTTTCTTAAAGATCACTCTGAGAAAAGGAATAATAAGAAATAAACAAAAAGAATACACGAAAAGAAATAAATAAAAATAAATAAACAAAAAGAAATAGATGAAAAGAAGTAAATAAATAAATAAAAAGAAATAAATACAAAGAAACGAAATGATAAAGAGTTGCGCTGCAGCTGCTGCGGTGTGCGCTGGGGTGTACGTACAGCTGCCGAAAACGTCGGAGCTGCTGCTACTGCTGCGGCCGCCGCTGCTGCTGCAGCTGCAGCAGCAGGAAGCAAATCCGCATTTGCTGCTGGAGAAGTATTTGTTTTTGCCGGGAGAAGTGGCGGAACTTGTGCATTCTTTGTTCATTCCTTTTGTCTCAGAAAGATTTTCTTTTTTTGATTTTAATTTCCAAAAAAATGAAAAACTTTTCTTGCAAGACTTCGAGTGGTGTCTAGCCACCCGAAAGCTCAGCCGCATGCACAGAATTGCCAGTTACCTCATGGCTCGTGAGCTTTTTAATTCTTTTTAATTATTTCAATTCCTTTTGATTCTTTTTTAGCCTTTTTTATTCTTCTTTTGCCCCTCTTTGTTCTTCCTTTGCTTCCCCTTTTGTTCCTTCATTGGTGCCCTTTTTTGAGCTGCTGTTTGCTGCATTCCAGTGCTGCTGCTGCTGCTGCTGCTGCTTCCATCTGCTGCTGCTGCTCTCGCTGCTGCATTTTTCTTTTTCCCGTTTTTGTTCTTCTTGCGTGCCACTTCCCTCTGCATTCAAGTGTATGTACACCTCAAACTTAGCAACACAAAAGACCTACATCAGCACAACTTTAATAGTTATTTATTTCTTTTCCCATAAACAATAAATACATATATATATATGTGTATATGTATATATATTTATATATAAATACACATACAAATATCCGCTTATTCACGAGTTTTTGATTTTGAATTTTAATTGTTTTAAATGTTTGTCTTGGGTCTTTGGCTTGAATTTAATTTGGGAGAAGTTGTTGGGGTTTTGTGTTGGAGTTGAACTGCTGCAGTGATTTTGAACTCGCGGGTGCCGGGGCTGCTGCGGCTGCTGTTTCGGCTGAATGGTTTGCGTTTTTTTGAATTTAAAATAAACCTTTTGTTGAAGATGTCTTCTCTGTCGGGAGCCGACGGAGAGGACTTGCTTCTGGACTTGGAAAGAAAAAAAGAACTGGCGTTGAAAGGGTGGCGCGGGAGCCGCAAAACGCGGCCTCTGGGGTGTACGTACACCCCAGCGGTGCCGCCGGGGTGTACGTACACCCCGGGCGCGCCGACGGGGTGTACGTACACCCCAGAACAGGCCGCGCATGCAGCTCGCGAGAGCTTCTCTCCACTTTCTTTTTGTTTCAATCCGAATCCGGAGTTCAGCAAAAAGGACCACGAGGCGCTGCTGCAGCAGGCCTGCAGCCAGCTGCAGCAAGTCCTCAAAAACCCTTCTTCTTGCCTCGCGCTGCAGTTCAATCTCGAAGCAATTTCCAAACTTCTTCCTTTTTTAAATGAACACAAAAACTTCCAAACCCTCAAGTCCCACCAAGTCTGCAACAGGCTGCTCCTTTCCCACCTCACCGCCGCCGTTCTCCACGCCGTCGCCGAACAAAAAGTCCCAAACCCTAAACGCTAAACCCTAAACCCTAAACCCTAAGCCCTGGGTGTTGCTTTTCTGCTTCTGCGCTTCACTTCCGGGGCCGAGCCTAGCTGCGGGCCGCGGCAAAGAGAAGCACAAATGCGTTGCTGCACAACAAGAAGGCCAAACCCTAAACCCTAAATTCTAAACCCTAATGAATTGACTCTTCTTTGCTGTTTGAATTCAGGTCCCTTTCTCTGCACAAGCTGTCAGCGCCATCACCACTTACATTGAAATGCTCACTGAGGCCCTTTACGCCATGCGGGATTCCCGTAAACCCTAAACCCTAAACCCTAAACCCTAAACCCTAAGCCCTAGGTGCTAGTGCAAAGCTCGTGGGGTTTAGGGTCTTGTTTTGTTCGGATTTGAGCAGCAAATAATATATTTTATGAATTTGTTTCTTTGAAATAAATAAATAAACAGAATTGGATTTGTTTTAATTTGATTTTGATTTGTTCGTTTGCTGCAGACTTGCTGGAGCGGATAAACACGGAGGACGCGAGCGAGGGTTTAGGGTTTAGGGTTTGGCGAAGCCTGCGTTTGTGTTTCAAAGAAAAGATGAATTTATATTTGTGTCGAAGTCTGCTGTGCTTCGTGGCGGACTTGGTGTACCTGAGCTGTCTAGACACCGCGCCGCTGCTGGCCTCCACTGCTGCATGCATGCAAAACTCTTTAAATCATTTAATTCTTTTTTATCTCCGAGACAAACAAATCCACTTCTACAACCACATCACCAGCGACTTCTGCTGGAGAGCCGCCGTCTGCCTCCGAGACGTCTTCAAAAAGGCAAACTCCAAACCCTAAACCCTAAACCCTAAACCCTAAACCCTACCCAGTGGGAATCAGCCGGGAGATTGGGGTTTTGGGTGGCGGCTCCCGGCGCGCCTTTTACCCTGGGCCCCAAGCCGCAGCCGCCAGGCCGTAAACCCCAAACCCTAAACCCTAAACCCTAAACCCTAAACCCTAAGTTGTGGTTTGCTGCACTGCGGGTTCAGACCGCGGAAAATGCTGCAATAAACCCTCAGTGCCTTTACCCCTTCACTCTGGCCAGCCGCTGCGGGCTGCGAGCTGGGGGTCCCTGGCCTTCGCTGTGGAGCAGCAGCTGGGAGCCTTCTTACTGCAGCTGGAGCAGCAGCATCACGCAAAGTGCTGCAGCTGCTGCTACTGCTGCTGCTGCTGCAGTAGGAGCCGAAGGCCCCAGCAGCAGCAACGGCAGCAGCCAGGAGCAGCAGACACGCTCCCAAACCAACAGCACGGGCAGACAAACGCCCCCAGAAAGTACCTACAGCAACGACCAGCAGCGGCAGCAGCAGCAGCACAACGGGCATTCGTACTATCAGCAGCAGCAGCAGCAGCAACAGCTGCACCAGTGGAGGAACTCGCGCTCGCCGAGTGTATTTGCGTCTTCTCGCGCTGCCTCTCCAGCAGCACCAGCAGCAGCAGCAGCAGCAGCAAGGGGCCCTGGTTCAACCCGAAGCCACCAAAGAAGAGAAAATGGCGCAAGAAACAAGCAGCAGCAGCAGCAGCAGCAGGAAGAAAACACTCCACTTCACAGGCACTGGAAAGGCTCCGTTATTCCCTGTTGGCGGCCCGGATGCAAAAAGGATTTGCCGCAAGGGTTTACTCTAAACCCTGACACTCTCAAGATGCACTACTGCCCGGGGTCCGCAAACCCTAAACCCCAAACCCTAAACCCTGAGCCCTAAACCCTAAACCCTAAACCCTAAACCCCAGGGGCTGTCTAGCTGGAAGCTTGAGTCTGAGCAGTGAACCGTTAGCTGCAAGATGTGTCGCAGATCTCCCCACAATCTTCAAATCCTAAACCCTAAACCCTAAACCCTAAACCGCGTTGGTTGTTGCTGCGCAGTACTGAGGCGGCTGTGGGGTTGAGAAGGGCTGTTCTTGAGGGTTTTCTGCGGGATCTGCGAATAAATGGAATTATTTTGAATAATTAATAAAATAAATATAGTTAATAATTAAAATACATAATTATTTTGCATTTATTTCCGCTTTTTGACCCGCAGATGCTACATTGCCTCTTACTGCAGCCTTCGCTGCCGAAAGCTGCACTACGTCAAAGGCCATTCCGAGGCGGGTCACTTCCCCTCTTTCGCCATTTAAATTGCAATTTATTTCTTTTTCAATTTAATTTATTTTATTTTTTTATTTTTTTTTATTTTGTTTAATTTCATTTAATTTTATTCATTTGCCTTCTTCTGGCATGCGTATCTCAACTGGCTGCGACATTGCTGCCGACTGTTCAACATTTTGCTGCCGACACCGCCATTTGAATGATCACCAATTCGCATTTTGTGACCTGTATTATTTATTTATTTTTATTTAATTAATTTATTTTATTTATTTTATTTATTCATTATTTATTTTTGTTCTGTTTGGATTTACTTTAGCTTTTATTCTTTTAATTCATTTTCCAGTTCAGTCTTCAGCTCCCCAGACGCTGCTGCAGCAGCACCCTTGTGTTCATCTTCTTTTTCTTTACTTTTAATTCTTTTTTTCTTTTATTTATATTTACTTTTAATTGTTTTTTATTTTTATTTATATTTAATTGCTTTTTAGTGCTGTTTCCTCCCCCACCATCCCTGATAACTTTTCACTTCATCCACGAAGTCACCAGACCACCAGGTCAAAATAATTGAAAGACCGAAATAAATGGACTAAACTGTTCATAAAAAGCGAAATAAATGACAAAAGTGGCTAAACAGTTCAAACAAGCTCTAAAATTGAAGTGAATTCGAAAGAATTCGAATAAAATTGCCGAAATTTGAACGAAGTTGAACGAATTTGAATGAATTTGATTTGCAGGTTTGCTGCTATTTCCGCCGCCCCCCCACATTTCTGCGTTTTCAGCTGCTGCCGCATCTGTTTCCGACCCAGCCGAAATATTTTATTCTAAATTCTTTTTTTGACATTAATTTTCCCCTCTTCACTCCTCAAGGGGAGCTGGAGGACTTCCAGCCCATCTTCTAGCTCCCCCACTTTCAATAAATGCATTTACGCCTTTTTCAAATTTATTCCTTTTCACTTCTTTGTCTTCTTACTCCTTGTAATAAAACAAACTTGATCTTAAAAGCCCCCTTTTTAGAATCATTTTAACCCATTTTGTAATATCAATATATATATATATTGAAAATACTATATATATATAATATACATTATATATATATATATTCCTTGTTGCGCATAACTGCGTATTATTTGAATAGAGTTTCACGCTGTTTTTTAGTGCAACAAAGGCGGGCTGTGAAGTTCAAAAAGTTGAAATATGTGTATAATGGCAAAAACGAGCCTCAAATGCATTTATTTTCAAGCATTGATGGCCTTCCAATTAAAACTAATTATGACAATAAAGAATGGCATTTAATTTGGAATTTGAAATGCCATTTTGCGCGCAAAAGGCGCAAAAACTCCCCAACTTTATTGGCGTGTTTTGGGTGTGCGTACACCTCATGCCTCGGGTGTATGCATACACCTCATGCCTCCTCCGCCATGGAGGTTGGAAACAACAGAATTTACTATTTAATGCCACATTTATATTTATTAATATTTATATTGTAAATGCACATCTCATTTATAATGCAGTTATGCTTTTGCTGCGCTGCAGCAGCAGCACTTTGCTGCTGCTGCTGCAGCTCCTCCTTAGCAGCCTTTGCTGCTGCCTAGCTGAAAACTCTGTCCTCCAACTCCTACTTTTAGGTTTATTACTATTTATTTATTTATCTTATTTATTTATTTTTTCCAATATATTAATTTAATATTTACTAAACTTAGGGTGCTTTAATTCTGGCAGATTGGCCACCGCCCAGCACTAAACTGGAAAGCGGAATCCCAATCACTTTTGAAAATATGAATCAAGTTGAACTAATTAATTAGTTAATTCATAATTAAATTAATTAATAAACGAATTAATAATTTGATGGAAACCCGAAATAATAAATGAAATGATTAAATGGAATGGTTAGTGCAGC